CAAGTAAAAGTTAGATAATTATATATATTAAGATATAGTCAGTCCCAATATTTTAAAAATATTATATAGAGCCATCATTGTTTATACGAACAAATTCGAAAGCTATAATCAACTTTTAAATTAATACAAAATATATCTTTAAAGAATGCCTTCAGTTGCGTTGTAAAGAATGCATTTATGGTAACAAAGTCGATGAAAATGGATGTAGAACTTGCCAATGCAGTAATATTCATATTTTTGTTAAATGTAATTTTAAATTAAATTGAAATCATTTCAAAGTTGATAATCATTATCGGTGATAAAATTTAAACAATTTATTCGATTATTTAAGAGAGTTATATAAATTATAATGTGAACTTTATCAAATATGTACTACTTTTAAGATTGTCCTTTGTTGAGATGCAAGGAGTGTGCTAATGGCAATCAAATCGATGAAAATGGATGTAGAACCTGCCGTTGTAGTATGTTTATTTCTATTAAAACTATGTTTTTTTTTAAATATGGCTAATAAACATCTTCAGTCATCTTCGTTCTGAGCGGTCAGAATGAATTTTCTCTATTTTTAGAATTTTACTTTTCCATTTTCATCTGTCATGCGTCATCTGGTTAAAGCCTTTCCCAAATCCATCTATTATACTAAACCTTTTTCGTTCTTATCTTAAACGTTTAATTATTCTTTATTTTCTTTCTTTCGTTCCCTATCTACGTATTTTAATCATGTAAACTATTATGTTCTTCCTGAAACTAACGCTTTAATTAGAAATTCTCTACAGGCATTTATATTGACATAGTGATTGATAGCGACTTAGGTATAAAGCGGATATGACTTTTCTTCCTAAATATTTTATTTCCCTAAAATAAGTTGTACAAAGTTTGGAATGTCTCACACAATAATTTAAAATAAAACATAATTATAAAACAGTTTGATATTCTATCCATTGTAATACGCGGTGAGTTTATTTGATTGTTCTTTTACATTTGATCATAAGATAAATTTTCAAAAAAATTATCCTTTTAATAAAATCTTTCAAGATTGCCCTCCTTTGGTAAATTGTACTAAGTACTGTTCTAATGGTTATCAAATCGATGAAAATGGATGTAGAACTTGCCGTTGCAGTAATTTATACTTTGCTAAAATTACAACTTTAAAAATTTATTATGTTAAAATTAGCCTATTACATTCGATTCGTGTAAAAGCAAGATAATTATCCTATAATAAGATATTCAGCACTTTGAAAATATTAAATATAGCTTTCTTTGTATTCGAACAAATTCTAAAGCTAAATATTTGTACTCTTAAATTAATATAAAATAAATTATCAATAGAATGTTTTGTTAGATTGCAAGGATTGCATATATGGTAATCAAATTGATGCAAATTGGTGTAGAACCTGCCGATTATAATCATATTTTATCAAAATAATTTAAGAAAATTTAAATCATTTCAATCTTTGACCGATTGGCATGAGAGTTTTATATAAGACTTTGTGGAATAAATTAAGCTATAAATAATAAAGTTATATGAATTATTCATCTTACAAGATTGTCCTCTATTAGAATGCAAGGAATGCGCTAATGGCAATCAAATCGATGAAAATGGATGTAGAACCTGCCGTTGTAGTATGCTCATTCCTATATTTAAACTGTGTTTTTTCAAGCTAATAAACGTTTTCAGTCTTCTTCTATTTGTAGGTTCTAGTATAATTCATTAAAGTCTCATATGTCTCGCGTCATATGGCTATAGCCTTTTCTAATTCCATCTTATTTTTTGCCTTTTTTTCGCTCTAATCATCAACACATCTCTCTAAACTTTTAATCATGTAAACTTTGTAAATCTGCCCCCCCCCCACAATACTTTTACCTTGTCGTATTATGACATTTTTCTTTTACACAACATCAGCATTCTTATTTATGTTACCCTCATCTTTTCCTCCTTCTAATACCTTGCAAACGATGTAGAGACAGATTTCTAAGACAAAATAACACTATATTTTGCCTGGGAATTTTTGGAATTTCTTTTACTTTCGATTGAACTTTACAACCCTAATGATAAACGTCTAAGATTCATCCAAGACTTCATGGAAGAGTGGTGAGTTACTTACCTGACCTTTCTTGTGCAGATACACTCGAATTCTCTAACCTAGATTATGATGTCATGAACGCAGAAAGTGATCAGATTTACCAAATATTTTTTTAAGTTACATCCCAATCATTTAATCATACCAATCATAGCTGCAATGTTAACTTCATTTGGCACTCACGTCATAGCCTCTTTCAATTCTTTCTATCCTTCTTTCTATCCTTCTTTCTTTCTTTCTTTCTTTCTTTCTTTCTTTCTTTCTTTCTTTCTTTCTTTCTTTCTTTCTTTCTTTCTTTCTTTCTTTCTTTCTTTCTTTCTTTCTTTCTTTCTTTCTTTCTTTCTTTCTTTCTTTCTTTCTTTCTTTCTTTCTTTCTTTCTTTCTTTCTTTCTTTCTTTCTTTCTTTCTTTCTTTCTTTCTTTCTTTCTTTCTTTCTTTCTTTCTTTCTTTCTTTCTTTCTTTCTTTCTTTCTTTCTTTCTTTCTTTCTTTCTTTCTTTCTTTCTTTCTTTCTTTCTTTCTTTCTTTCTTTCTTTCTTTCTTTCTTTCTTTCTTTCTTTCTTTCTTTCTTTCTATCCTTCTTTCTTTCTTTCTCCTTCCTTCCTTCCTTCCTTCCTTCCTTCCTTCCTTCCTTCCTTCCTTCCTTCCTTCCTTCCTTCCTTCCTTCCTTCCTTCCTTCCTTCCTTCCTTCCTTCCTTCCTTCCTTCCTTCCTTCCTTCCTTCCTTCCTTCCTTCCTTCCTTCCTTCCTTCCTTCCTTCCTTCCTTCCTTCCTTCCTTCCTTCCTTCCTTCCTTCCTTCCTTCCTTCCTTCCTTCCTTCCTTCCTTCCTTCCTTCCTTCCTTCCTTCCTTCCTTCCTTCCTTCCTTCCTTCCTTCTTCCTTCCTTCCTTCCTTCCTTCCTTCCTTCCTTCCTTCCTTCCTTCCTTCCTTCCTTCCTTCCTTCCTTCCTTCCTTCCTTCCTTCCTTCCTTCCTTCCTTCCTTCCTTCCTTCCTTCCTTCCTTCCTTCCTTCCTTCCTTCCTTCCTTCCTTCCTTCCTTCCTTCCTTCCTTCCTTCCTTACTCTTATATAATCCGTTGATATCTAAAACATTAATTATATATTCGATTTGCATTCTCTTTTGAATAGGCCTAGTGACGTCACTTAGTCCTTACAATCTTAGGTGGCTCAAAAAATATTTTAAAATTAACTGATTTTTTTGCTAACATTTTCAAAATGACTTTTTTTAAGGTATTTTTTAAAAATAAACTAAGGGGGCTCTTCATAGGGAGCACGAGCCTCTGTGCATCCCCCCCCACACCTAGTAACGCTATTAAATTGGTCTACCTACTATTAACCGATTCTTTTCGAAGTTTGATAATTATAATCACCTTTAGGATTATTTATACAACCGAAATTTTAAGCTATAACTTTGTAAATATCAATTTCTATAAGAAAAGAATATAAATATATGAAACGTATCTTTCAAGATTGTCATGATTTAAGATGCAAGGAGTGCTCAAATGGAAATCAAATCGATGAAAATGGATGTAGAACCTGCCAATGCAGTTACATATTTTTTTTATTAATATTGCTAAAAAATATTACTTATTCTCTTATTAATGCTGCTAATTAAGAATGTATCATTTTTTAATTATATTATTTGATTCTTACATCTTATTCCTAATATTTATTCATTTTTGTTAATTTTGTGATAAGTTGAGTATTAGTGCCTAGAAATATAATGAAATAAAATTAAACCATAATATGAAATTCTAATCCCTTTATTAAACTCTATTAATTATAAATATAAATTAACATAAAAATGGAAAAAGTAACAAAAAATAAAATAGAAAAAGATTAAAAAATAAATTTATAAACGAAAAATAAAAAGTAAATAACTTCATTGTTAAACTCTTAAAGTATGAAATATCACCAATTATCACGCTTTTTCATCTCATTTGCATAGTCTAAGACTTAAATAATAAAGTAATAATTTTAATAACACATTATTTTTGTTTGAATATCATCACAATTTGAATAATAAATTTTTTTGTAACTGAATATTACAACAAATTTTACCTTAAACTCCTGTATAACTGATAAATTTTTCTCAAATTATTGAATACTTTTCTATTATGATGATAATGATTCAAATTTTTTTCCGTACCAAATTTGTATTATTTTAAATTGATATTATTATATATGTATTTAATTTTTATCATTTTTCATAAGATTGTACTAAAATAAAACTAAAATGCTCCTTTTGTCCACTTGGTTACCAATTGGATGAAAATGGATGTGAGACTTGCAACTGCAGTAAAAATTAAATTCTCTTAATTTTTAAAATATTTTGTTTTTAATTTTTTCTTACAATTTCAATTGTATAATGACCAGAAAATTGATATAAATATATATTATGTATTTTTTGACTACTATTTTTTATATTGATAAAATTTTATATTTAAAATAATTTCGCATAAATTTGGCTAAATATAATGAGGTTAATCTATTGAAAAATTTTAATGATAAACAGTTTACCTAATTTTATCTATTTATTAGGTTGCAATAAACCTAGGTGCTTCAATAAATGCTCGTATGGGTATGAAACGGATAAGTACGGTTGCTCAACTTGTAAATGCAGTTAAACAACCATTGATATAATTTTTTTTATTAATTTTTTTTTGGCAAAATATTATTTTTCCTTGTATGGCGCATTTTTGTATTCGATTTAACTGATAATAATTTATAATTGCGATATAAAACGTGTAGGATGTCCTCTAAGAGAATGCAAGGTGTGTCCCAATGGTTACAAATTTGATGAACAAGGTTGCCAAACATGTGATTGCGGTATATTTGATTATATTCTAAAAATTAATATAGATTTTTAAGTAATGGCTAAAAATTGCCCAATCATCCTTAGTCTCCAGGCTCTTGCTGAAAAACCAATCAGCTACGAATTTAGGACCAGTTAATTTATTTACTATTTCTTCAAAATAAAATTATATCCCCCCCCCCACTCTTCCCCCAATAAAGAAAATGGAGACTAAAATTATATCTTTAGAAAAGGTATGTTTCGCCATTTTTTTTAGTTAATTTAGAGCAATTACCCAACTATATTTCTCTCCTTTTTTTTATATCCAATAAACATTTTATTAATCATTGCGTTTTAGAAACGAATATATATATTTATTTATTAAAAATATTTATACAATTTGTAATATTTAATAAGAAATATTTCATATACATATATTTTTAGTTTGTCCCTCCCCCTATCCTGATCTATTAATAAGAATTTATTTGACAAACTGTTAATAAAGAATTTAATTGATTCTTTTAGCGCTCTTTAAGCGCATTTATTTTCTGGTATATTGAATAAGAATCAAAATGATCTATAAAGAGCTTTTATTGCTGGAATGATAATGAGACAATTTTGTTTCTGTATATATTCAAATTTGTGTCAATTTGGATTGTTTTAATTAATTATACGTATATAATTTCTATCGTTCTTCAACAAGATTGTCCTAAAATAAAACTAAATTGCTCTTTTTGTCCACTTGACTACCAATTGGATGAAAATGGATGTGAGACTTGCAACTGCGATAAAATTAAATCTCTTAATTTGTAAAAATGTTTTCTTGTTGATTTTTTCCTTTCAATTTCAATTGTAATAAACTAAATGTTATAAATATGTAATATATATTTTTCGACAACTTTTTATATATAGAAAAAATTTTATGATTAAAATTTTTTTACAAAAATGAGATAATTTATGGAAATATTTTAATATTTGATAAACAGTATAAATAATTTAATCTATCTACTAGTTTGCAGCGCACCTAGGTGCTTCAACAAATGCACATATGGGTATGAAACGGATAAGTATGGATGCGCAACTTGTAAATGCAGTTAAGGAACCATTATTGATATATTTACAATTTTCTTATTAATTTGTATTTTTTTTTGCAAAATATTCTTTTTCTAGTAGAGCTTAATTGATTGATTTATTGCGATTTGTATATGATTTAAACTGATAATAATTTTAAATGTATTCGCGATATAAA